AGGAATTGAGAGTGACCTAACAGCTCACAGAAATGAGCTGGAGCATCTAAATTCTGTCTCCACTGGACCAGAAAGCTTCCTAGGACTGAATTCAGCAGGGCAGGATGTTAAGACACATTGCCGGAACAAAGCTGAGTTCAAAGTTATGAGTCTTGCCAAAGTAAAGACTGCAGAATCTGGCACTCATTGTGTTCTCAACCAAAACAGTCCTGCACGTAAACTAGAGATGCAATTCATGGTGGAATTGAATCACCATCAATAACAACAAGTGAGAGATTTGACAATACATATTTCATAGGAGGGCTCTGCTGTATTTCTAAACCAGTGCTTAACTCTATTTCTTTTTAAATTGAATAACACAAAGTAAATCACTATCATCAGTTTACAAAACAGCAGTAGTTCTAAACATGCTGATACTGTACAAGTAGATATTTTACATTCGACAGTAAGTGATTTTAGCAGGACAGCAGACAGGTCTATGCTATCATTTGCTCATGAGAATCTGATATGAGTGTTAAGAGCTACTTAAATTTGCCCATAACTATATATCAAATATGCTTCCCTATGCTCATTTTTCCTTTTGATTGCAAGGATATAACAGACACGGAGCATCAAGCAAACTCCCTTGAATGACTCTTCTGGGCATGTGGAACCTTGTGCTGGAGCAGAATAGTGTTCTCACTAAATCTTAGCAAGACAAGCCAGCCAACCAAATAAATAGAACAAACGAGCAACAAGGAGCTACCAATTCTGGGCTATGGACAGAAGAAATGAGTGAAGACAGAATAAAGATAGAATTATAAAAGAAACTGAGATAAAAGCTTGGGATAATCAGGAAAAATGCAGTCAAACCATGCTTCTCACTTCTGGTCAACTCAGCTCTATCACCTGTGAACTAATCATTTGGATCACAAAGCAAGCAGGCCATGGCTACTGAAAATGCCCAAACCAGCTCTGTGTGATCAGGATGGATCCAGTAACAGTTCAGTAGTTTTGTCAAACAAAACCGAGCTCTCTGGACTTACTTGATGGCAAGGTAGGTGCTGGTGGTGGGCAGGGGACAAGGATGATGACTCTGGCACCAGTCACCATCACATTCAACTAGCTCTTTTGTTTTCTTCTTCACCAGTATGCATTCATTCCATGTTATGGGGGCTACCTTTACATGCACTTTTTTATTATCTGTGTGGTTTTACCTTATGTAGCAATTCCAATCAGCCATTAGCTCAAGTAACTGTAAGTTGAGCATATTAGAATGGGTTACGTTATTTTAAAAAAGCCAACGAAACCCTCAAACAACTTGGGGATGCCTTTTGGTCTCAAAAATGTGACAATAGCGTGCTGAAGGGGAATTATTTTTCAACAGTTTAATGACATTGCTGAATCTCTGCAAAGTAAAAGATTTTGTTTTGTTTTTCACATAAGGCAAGGAGAGGGAGTTAAGTGGTTCTTTTCCCTGTCCATCAATTGCTTACAGTTCAATACTGGCATTATTTGCCTTTGAGACTAAACCTGGAAAGTAAATGGATTTAGCAATTTAACATCTAAATTAGGCAGCAAGACAGAAAAAATGTTTTACTTTTTCCTCAATGAATAGCATACTATACTATTAATCATATGAGAATTAGAAAAGCTTTGCAGAGATTAGTGACAACATGCCAGGCAGACTACATTAAAAGGCTCTGATCCACTGAGTCAGCTGCGAAAAAGCCAGGTAAACACTTTAGAAGAGAACTATTGGAGTGTTTATCCTCACAATAAAAGCTTAGATGAGGGCTTCCATTATAGCTGATTTACAGCTAGGCGCTTCAGAAGGAATACCTATTCTTTCACAGTGTTTATAAAGCGTGGAATCAAGCAAGGTATTTACTCAGCAACAGAATGAACACTCCTCAGAAATAAGGATGTGGGGAATATTTATCCTACAGCTGACAACAATGAGAGTCTCAAAGGTTTCACATACGTAACGAGAATACAGAAAAAAGTCAGATACTTTTTTCCTGTGAAAGAAAAGTGATCTCCTGGTATTTAATTTTTAAAATAAAGAAGACAGTTATTTCATTTTTAAAAACATTTCTGAAAATGACTTGTATGTTCTAATCAGTTTAAAACACAGTTCCGCCTCAGATGGCTTATAGCCCTGAGCCCTACTATTCTGAGATGTTCTTGTGGCACTGATATAAATCAGTGAAAAAGGCAACACTTGGATCTACTTACCCATTTTCCAAGGGCAGAACGATATATGTGACCAAATAACACGTAAGAAATAAATTTGTATTTCACTGACAATTGGTAATGTCCCAAATACCAAAATTTTAAAAGAGATAAAACAGTTAGAAGTAAGAAAATGCAATGACAGATAGCTAACTCTTGAGATGATTAAAAAAAAAAAAATTAACATTAAGAGCTATAAACTGACCAAAGAGTAGTTCCTCTGGACATGTCATTATACAAGTATGGAAAATTACTCAGTTCACTACAAAAATAAAACTTCTTGAACACAAATGAGGAATTTAATGGCTGACATCAATATGCAGTACTAAGATACTGATACATGCAGTATTAAGAAACACAATATTAAGGAAAAATAATCACTTTATCACTTCAACATGAAAAGTAAAAAAGAAGCGTTTTTCAGCTGACTAATCATGGAAAGTAGGAAAGTAAGCATTACTTTTAATGTGCAAGAGATATTCACAAAGATTAGGAGCTGCATTTGGACAGAATCAAAAATTGTTTTGGAAAGCTACAGAATACAAGTGGAAAAAGTAGGGGAAATACCAGTAGGGTCCTAAAGGTGGTAGCAGAAACCAAATGGGACCATCCTTCAGTCCAACCTCCTGCCCAAAACAGGGTCAGCATCAGACAGATTCCTCAGGACCTTGTCCAGTATCTGGGAATATCTCCAAGGATGGAGATTCCACATCCTCTCTGGGCAATATGGAAACAGCCAGGTCTTACTGACAGACAGATAGATTTGGCAAGTCTCACAGACTGAAAAACTACTTGAGTTTGGAGGAATCAGAGCAAACAAAGAAAAAAATGAACATGAAAGTGAGCATAACAGGTTTTGATGGATTGCATCAAGCCTTCAGTGAAGTCAGGTAAAGTTAAAAATTCTGACACACTTTGTTTTAGTCTTGTATGTTTGTATTCCTCTTAGGTACTTTAAGGACATTATGATGAACTGAAGGAGAGCTCTGGCTAAGCAAGTCTATGGTTTCTGAAATGTGAAAAAAAAGTGAGCTGTTAAAATTTTTGTTGATACTTTTCTCAGCAGAATATTAGGAATTCCACCAAATAAAAGTTTTCTAGCAAAACATCTATGTTCCTACAAATTAGTAATTCTTCATGATTAAACTCCCAGATACCTAAACACAAAAGGTTAAAGCTAAAACTGGAAATACATACTTTTCCTACTCCTCCTCCCCACCTTGACTGAGAGATCAACACTTTTTGAGAGGGGAAAATAAACATAACACGTAAGAGCCGAAGCTTATGTAGCTTTTACGTTTTCTTCTCTTTTACATGAATTCAAATTGGGTTTCAAAGAGGTGTTTAAAGTAAACTTGGTATTCTAGTGAATTATCAAAATGAATATATCCAGTATCTCAAATGGAAGAGATGTAATGCGGAGTGATAACAGAGAGCA